AATAACTAAATTTTAATATTTAACTTTCATAAAAATAAAATATTGTATAATTAAGGATTATCAAATATATGATCTTTAATAGTGATTATTAGTAAGGTAATTTTTTGAACTTATGAAAAGATGAGACGTCAATAAGCAATGTTTTAAATTGAAATCAAATCAATTAGTTTTGGCCTTTGATTTTTTTTTTTTTTTGATAAGAAATTGAGAAATATATTGAATAATAAGAAAAATATAGTAAAAACTTCATCACATGGTATATAGCCTAACGCATGAGAGCTTAAAAAGCAGAATCAGCAGCAGAAGCATAACCTACAGTCTAGTAACAAATTTAAACTATGTCCATAACGAATATAGACAATTAAGTAAAGAGAGCCATCTACAACTAGAGATTGCAAATTGCAATCGCTGTATGGGCTAAATAGGGTTACTAATGTAGAAAGGAAGGTCCCTATGAGCATCGAAAGCTACTAGACGTTCTCACCTAGTTAACCAGCTTCTCGGGGAGAGAATGGATTTTGGCAACAAACAGTCCCCAAACTATAGGTTGCCATCCAAGCTATTTCTTAAAAAATAATAAGCAAGAGGAGGGGTGTGGTCCTCCTCTGTGCAGTCGTCAAGTACCTTATTCGTCTGCAAGTGCATCCAAACATATGCCCATCTGTTCCAATCCTCAACAATCCCTGGCTATCATAGGTTAATAAGGGATCTAGAGCCCCTTTATCAGCTTGAGGGCCATGCTACCCTTATAGAACACCATCATCTTCCTTCACAGCATGGAAATTTGACCTTCCACACCAAAACCCGCTTATATCCCCCCACGCAGAACCCAACCAGAAGAAGAGAATGCCCCTCTCCTTTTCCGATTTGCTCAAGGTAGCATTGATGGCACCTAAACGTAGCCAAAGCAGAGGGGAATTCGTCTCTAGTTGGCCGGAAAACCCTGTTAAAGGCCATTGACATCCACCCGGATCTACTATTACAACCTCAATGTGAGATGGCTTCTCTCGGCACAATTGCTCAAAGAACAGCAAAGCCCACCCTAGATCTAATAATGGCGAGAAAGAGGAAATTTGAACGGCAAACTCATCCTGCCAAAACAGATTCAAGCCACCCCTTCTCTCAGCACAATTGCATGCGAAACAGTGAGCCAACCCTAGATCTATTCGGAACAAAATCATCTCCATCGTCGATTGCTGTGATGCAAGGAGCAAAGCAGAGTTCGGCATTTGTTGGAGGCACGATTTAGTTGACTCAAAAAACAAATAAACCTCTCCGAGATTGCAATGAGTCCAGGCCAACATAAGCGGATGAGCCATGGGAAGAAACGAAAATAGAAACCGAGGGAGAAGCCCTGCACGAAAACAGGAAGAAATGCCTAGGCGAGGGGTTCGACCGTCGCAAGGAAATCCTAGCGACGACGAGAGAGGAAGCACTAAAACTTTAAATTTATGTTCGTTTTGGCCTTTGATTTTAATTAAACTAATTTAACCATTTAAAACATCGATTTATAAATAATTTTGTTAAATAATTTACAATAAATAAAATTTTCACATACAAAATACGTAACAATTATTACTACAGGTGATAAAAACACACAGCTGTAATTGACAGGTCGAAAGAATGAGATTTTCTGTCTTAGTGTCATTTTTACGTCTTTATATAGTTTAAATTATAAGTCTTCCTATCCTCAAAAAAAAAAAGAGTATAATTTATAAGTCTTCCTGTCGGTGTCAGTCCACCAAGTGGCAAAACATTTCAAGTTGGACTTGGCGTTGAGGGTTCATTCCCACGTGTCCCCCTATTCTTTTTCTTTTTAGAAGGTTAAAAATCTTATTTTTAACCCATATATTTAAAAAAAAAAATTTGTCCTTATGCTTAAGAAATTTTTCTTAATCCTAAAATTTACCTTTTAATCATTTTTTAGTCTTTTCATTATCTTTTTGCTGAGATGGCTTGTTAATTAAGAGAATAAGTACACACCCGCAGCACTTGATGCAGTGGATAGGGTGTGTATATTCCAAGGCTATGACCTTGGTTCTAATCCCCCTCCCCCAAAATTCCCCTATGTTCAAAAAAAAAAAAATAAAAAATAAGAGAATAAGTTGATTTTTTTTTTCATAAAAAAGACATGGAAATGCCCAGTAAAAAAAAATTGATAATGTTAACAAAAAAAATTATATTATTCTCCACAAAATGAGTTGGAAATGCACCGAAAAAAATGATAATGTGGGCAAAAAAAATATTAAACTACCATAATAATTTTACTAGACCCATTTAATATTTAATTATTTATTTCCTTTAATTAAATTTAATAGTTTTAATGCAATTTTTTTGACTTTTTAAACATAAATTTTATATAAAAATCTAACCATTTTAAACACAAATTTTTGTTCTTTCAATTCCTCTGCAAAATTAAATTTTCACAAAAATTTGTTCTCTTAGTTCCTCTACACATTTCAATTCCAAATCAAATTTATTCCCAAAATCTTGAGCAATGTCACCTCCTCTACTAATTTCAATGGCTGCTTAACCATGAAATCCAAGATCAATGACACGAAAAAAATCCGACATCCAGTACCCAAGCCAAGAATGCTGAAGCAAAAAAGAGCAAAAGAAAAAGACAACCAAAAAAACCCAAATTAGGCTAAGAAAACAAATGTAGAAATTTAGAGAAAAACAAAAGGAGAGGCACAGAAAAAACTCAAGAAACAAAATAATGATAATAATAATAATAATAAACCAATAGATCTGTACCAAATTTAAAGGACTCGAATTTCTTCTTATCAACCATTTCTTGATTTATACAGGAAAAAAAAGGCAATAAAAAGGTGATCCTCAGGATTTGGGTGTTGATACCGAGTAAGCAATGGTGAAGTACCTGAAGCCAAACCCAATCCATTGTCTTTCAGGTTCGCCATCATCTTTCAAGGCCACCATCATCCTTCAAGGTTGTTGATGAGTAGCATTTTATACGTTTTAATATATTATTTTACCTTTAATTTTATTATTATTTACATAGACAATATGTATTTTCAATAATGTTTACATAGTTTTCATTTTTTATGTACAAAAAGACTTGAATGCATAATAATATGAGTTTTTGGGATTAATTGAATTTTTTTGAAAGTTGAGGGATTAAATTGCAAGAAGAGAGGTTACTTTTTGGGATCTAAATGAATGAGTTTTAAGTTATGAAATTAAAGTGCTCATCACATAAAAGATGGAGGATCAGATCTGCTAGTTTACCATAAGAAAATTACAAAAAAGGCCAAAAATCCGACACGGGTATAGCGTGGACGCATACTTGGTGGTCTCAGCACTTGCATTAAGCCTTGCTAAAAGCCTAAAACAGATTCGCTTGAAATAACCAAAGGCACGTCCAGCATTATGCTTAGTTTGACAATGCTCCTGCAGCATTTTTTGTAATTTATATGTTTAGTAAATTATTTTTTTTAATTTTTTTTTAGAA